CCAAATCAGAGAATCAAATAAATTAATCATTATGAATCGGATGAGTACTATATCTGTATACATCCTACGGGAACTATCCGATGTATAACATGACCTCAACCAGAATAGACGGTGATCACTTAGACTCACACTAGGTGGTCAAGTGTCGCCTTTCCCTACCCGGGAAATCAGCTATTATACATGGTGTACGGTACTGACAACACAGACTATAACGAACTACACAGTGATAACACCTCGCAAAGTACTGATGAATATACTGAGCATATAAATTAGGCAACACATGCCAACAATATTAATAAATGTACCGAGAATGTCAATTTAGGCAACACATGCCAATAATATTAATAAATATACCGAGTATGTCAATTAGGCAACACATGCCAATAATATTAAACCACATACCCCGACAGCCACACATCTGTCTATCGCAACGAATGCATAAGGTATAAATGAGTCTAAACTTATTAGCCAGCTCATATGGTTCTATATGGCAACACATCCATATAATATAAATGCGACATAATTAAACAGTCCATTTATTTCCTGAAATGCACACAGCATAATAATCATGGTTTATATATCAATTAACAGTATAAACATCCTATACGATATCATGGATAATTTATCTGACTAAAACCATGGCCTTATTTAATTTAACAGTAATGTTTGATACCATTAAATACGATAATAACACTATTTATATTTAACAATGTCGTTAAATAAATCACATTAGTATCCGTACTGCGAACGAGCCAATAAATGCTTAGAAAAGATTAATCGGCCATAAGAATAAGTAACGGGTGTTAAAATAATAATTTCGTGGCCCGTTAAACCCGTAATTACCAACACAGTACCTGAAAATCCAAGTTTAAGGTTCTGGAATTTACAAAACAGGCCCTAGGGGTATTCTGGTAATTTCCAGCAGCTGTAGGGACCCCACACGCGCCCTCACGCGCCTCCCAGAGCCTCCCCACGCGCAGCCCAACCTTCCCCACTCTCCCACGCGCCTCCACGCGCGTCTGGCATCAGCCACGCGCTCCCACGCGCGCGCACGCGCTGCCACGCGCGCACTAAGGGTGCCTTGCTGACGTGTCACTTCCTGGTTGGTTGGCTGCATCCGGACTCCGTACTCGCGTCACACTGGATCATCTCACCCTATCTTCCCTCCATCCAACGCCCATAGATCCGGGTGTACCGCGGTATCATGGACCGCGATGCACCGGATCAATCAGACTCCACTAATGGCCAGGATGCGCGCGTACACCCTCCTATGGTGCGCCGCGTTGCACCGGATCACTCCGGTCGTCTCCCCCACTGCCGGCGACCGGAAAACTCGCCGGAAGGTCGCCGGAAATTGCAGAAAATGCTCGGAAAAATCTAGAAAATTCTAGAAAAATCCCTAAAGTCTTATTTAATTATTTTTAGCCATTATTAATTTCATAGGACATTAAATAAATATATACCATCCTATATAATTAAAATTCCATTAATCTAATAAAATAAAATTAATAATTTATTAACCTCCAAACCTTGGCTCTATGCATAAAAATAATCTAAACAATTAATTTATTAATTCAAAGGGGAAAAGTAGATAATAACTTGCCTTTTTGGATTTAAAATAAATCCGCCGGTCTGCGCGTAGTCGGGTAAAATTGCCTACACCGGTCCAAGCTTCTTTCTCTTTCTCTTTTCCTTTCCCTCTTATAAAATAGCTCTCTAGAATTTATACTTTGCTTCTAACTCCCTTTATTTTTTTCTAAGGCAAGCTAGTTAATTTATACACAAAATATATAATATAAATATTACAAATATCTAATTTATAATAACTTCTCACCCATTTCTCATATTCCTACCTATATGGCTTTAAGACAATGCTATCTTTAATCAAGATATTTGATCCACCATTCTACCATAGTAAATGAAATTCTATCCTAGTATTTAATTTTCCATCATTACATTGATTTATTATAACTATTATTATTATTATTACTAATATTATTATTAATAAATTTTTTTTATTATTATATGATTATTATATTATTATTATTTATTATTATTATTAAACTAATATAATTATTATTATTGTTATTACAAAATAATATATTATATCATCATAATACTTTATAACACAAATATAATACTCTAATTAACTAATATTGCTTAATTAAACATAATCAACAAATAAAAGTAATTAAACTAATACATGCACAATTAAATGAATACATTTACTATTTTAACATACACAATTAATTTACATGCACAATTAAATGAATTTAATAAAATAATGTAGTATGCACAATTAAATAAAATTAATTAACCTAACACAAAATTAATTTAAATACATTCTTTAAAATTACGGGGTATTACAAGCATACCATGTGATAAAATAACAGTGAACGAAAAGGTCATTTTTTACAAATCTAGAATTTTATTCTTAAAATTTCTTATTTATTTATTTTTATTTTTACCATCCACCCACCAAATGCAAGTCACATAAGCCAAATGGAACTCACTCAGTGCTAAAAACTAAACATTCCTTCAGTAATAGAACCTAATTATATGAGAACAATATAACAGTTGCTACAGAATGTTGTGAATCACAACTTAAGATCGTTCTTCTATAATTTAAAGTGCACTAAACAATTTATTTTTTTTTAACAAGTTCAGATAAAAATGTACTTCCTCAAACCAATAACATGTTAGAAAAGAACAATCAAAGCTGCTGAATAATGTGAGGGTGAATTGCATCCAGTGATAGCCTCCTTCAATTTCACATCTACCTAAGAATGAGTGCCATTAATTATGCAACATTAAAAGAGCAGGAGGAATGCAATAGAGAGCAATACGTCGTACCATTCTAATTCAAGCAGGTAAATATAAAGTAACTCACAGGAGCATCCTTCATTCTATAACAAGAATAGGTATACAGCTAGGTGACTCCGGCTCATCTTGCTTTTAGATAGAGTTTCAACTTTAAATCCATGTCAACACTAGCACCTCCTAAATCCAGATCAGTCATCAATTTCCTAAAAAAATTTGTAAAAGTTTCATAGGAAGCCACAGGAAGAAATGCTGTGAACCACAATGAAATTCAATACAAAATGAACCCGACCAATTTAGTCATGAATTTGTGGTCAACCAACAAGAAAATAAACAAATGGGAAGTTTAGTGGAGTCTTGCTTAGGAATATGGCAGGAAATTAATAAACAAATGAGAAGTTCAGATTTGGTCTTGGTTAGGAATGTAGCAGGAAATTAATAAACAAATGAGAAGTTCGGACTTGGTCATGGTTAGGAATATCGCAGGAAATTAATGAATTAAAAACATGCGCATGATCTGCAGTCAAATGCCCTACCACTGAGCTAAGGACCCATTTGTTTAAAGCCTTGATAGCAAGGGTATGCCCTTCTCCTCTCTTTGTACTTTTTTGTTCATATCAATAAATTTTTTCCACAATCACTTAGGAAAAAAAATTGCAGATGATCAGAAATGTAAAACTACCACAGGCCCATAAAAGGTCATCTACCCTCTACATGGAATCCATATAATAGAAGGAATGCACATCAGTGGTGAGTCTTAGCCGTATGAAATTCAAAATTAATTTTGCCATTGAAAATCACCAACCAGATGCAAGTAATCAATGTCAAATGCAACAAACTCGGTGCTAAAAGGTAAATATGCCTAGGTAACAGAACCTAAATTCTCCAAAAGCCATAACAAACAATTGCTGACAAAGACATCATTCACAGTTTAAAACTGGCTGCTAAAATCTGAAGCATGATTAATCATTCATTATACCTTAGCAAATTAAGATAAGAATTACCCTACACCAATAATAAGTTATATGAAATAAATAGCTGCACGTATCATACGTGCAAGGGTGAACGGAAATCACATGAAATCAAATTGACATCTAATTCATAAGTCAGTGCTGTTAATTATGAGAGAGAGGCAATCAAACAGAAAAGAGAGAGAATGTCATTTTACTTCAGAAAAATGGATTCCAAGATCACACACTGATGTTTTTGTATCTTCAGTGCTGCCTTCAAGATTTAAAGTCCACATTCCTCTGTAAATTACACATTAAGAGATAGGAGCATACCATTTGGCAACTTGCACACATCCTTGCCTTAGATGGGCATTCTGAGGATTCCCTTTCCCACCCCACAGGACGTATTATATGCCCGTGCCACCCACTCCTCTACTCAATCACTCCCCCCAACCTCTTTATCAAATCGTCCAACCAAACAGGACAAAAGCATCGCTCTTCTCCCTTCAACGGACTCCTCATCAATATACAGCGATGGCCCTCGATGAGGGATCACCTAAGTAACGGAACCTAAATTCTTCACAAGCAATCTATGTCAAATGTGACAAACTCGGTGCTAAAAGGTAAATATGCCTATGTAACGGAACCTAAATTCTTCAAAAACTATTACTAACAATTGCTCATGAGACATCATTTGTAGTTAAAAATTGGCTGCTAAAATCTGAAGCACCATTAATCATTCATTATATCTTAATAAATTAAGATAAGAATGCATTACCCTAAACCAATAACAAGTTATGTGAAATAAAAAGCTACTTGTATTGCAAGCGTGCATACAAATCAAATTGAAATCTACCTCATAACTCAGTGCAGTTAATTATGAGAGTGAGAATCAAACAGAAAAGAGAGAAAATGTGACATCATTTTACTTCAAAAAAATGGAGATAATAAAGCAGACATAATAGCCTGAGGACCTGTAATCAACACCAGTTTATCTCGCTCCTAAAAACCATTTGACAAAAGCCCAGTAAGAATAAACTTAAGAGACAAAATAATGCACACCTTCATTCATCCCATAAAAAAGCAATTCTGACATAAACACTGCCCTATTATTTTCTATTAAAATTCGTTCACACGCTCATTAAATCAAAGATCATTGGCATATTAGATGGATGAAAATTGAATAAACTTAAGAAGCTGCAATATATGAGTAAACATGGAAATATTCAACTACATAAGGTTCCAACTCTCAAAATCATAGTAAATATAGGGCCTACTTGGTTCAGTTTCCAGAGAACTGAATATCATAAAACTGTACAAAAATTTACTGCAATCCACCTATAGTAAAGCTATCAACTCTAATCGCCATGTCTGATGATAATTCAGGCAGAGCAAACAGAATAAAAATTGATTAATTTGGTATTACCTCTCCTCTCTATTCTTCTTGCTCCCAGCGCAGATTGGAACTAGACTTCCCACACAAATGGAATCATCAAAGAAAGTCGGCGAACCAGGAATCCTAACTTTCTTGACTGTTTTCCTTTTCAAGTCCAACCAAAAAAGATTTGAATGGTCCTGGTTCAGAAGTACTTTCTCGCCCGTCCTTGAATATGCCAGAGGCCTCCCATAACCAAATTGCACTACAGAAAACAATTTAGTCCAAGATTCTTTTACCCCATACTCATTCATCACCCATATATCAACATAGTTTCCATCATAATTGCAATTTATGCAAAGCCGTCCTCCTAATGATCCCGGACACAGAAGAAAATCCTTATCAACCAAATAATCAGGCTGTGGCACCAACCGGTATTTCTCAACCCCAAGATCAAAAGCATCAATCAAATTTCGCTTATCCGACCTGGGTTCTCCACACACAACCCAGTGCAAAGCCCCTCTAACAAACACTGCAGGCATGGGTCGTATGGGAGGTAATAGGGGAAATCTTGAATCATTCGCCAAGAATTCATAATGAATTGTCATATTTAACGTAGTGCTGTACCAACTTGTAGTCATCATGGACAGAATCGTACCCAAACCCAAAGCCATAAACTATAAACGATGACCAATTGCTTAATTCGTACCGGAGCTCGATTGAAGCGAACGGTAACTTGTGCTGCTTTCTGGTCGAGAAGTTCCACAAGACAATTTCGTCCGTTGAATATGATATAGTTCTAAAACGTTGTATCAAACAGAGCAAGCCGTTGCAAGCGCCCACTACTCCGGTTCTATATCTGTGGGACTTCGGGTGGTCAAGCTTCACGGCACGATTGAGCGAGTCGAAGTCTGTAGAGTAGAGATCGCCATCTATAAAAATGAGGCTGTGGTTGGCATTGGTTTCGATGGATCGATTGAGATGCAAATTGATGAAATAGGAGCTATCTATCAGAGCAAGCCATGGTTTTGATACACACCTATACTGCAGAAGGGGTTTCACCGGCAATCTTGATAGTATGTTGGCCAACATTTCCATAGGAAGGTCTGACATCTTTAGCTGCTGCTGCATCTTGCTAGGATTTATGAATGTGTATGTGGCGCGAAAAAGAGGAGCAAATGTGTTTAGATCACTTCACTGGCGCCTTTCTTTTTCAGTCGCGCATCACCCACACGGACCCATGCTCGGAAAAAGAGGAGCAAATGTGTTTAGATCTCTTCACTGGCGTCTTTCTTCTTCAGTCGCACATCACCCACACGGACCCATGCTGTGTCTCCTAACTCTTTGCCATAAGCGCATAACTATTGGCACCAAAGGGTTTAAGGTTTTCGATGGAAAGCCAGTCCATTAAGGGCCCGTTTGGTTGCTGTTTTGTTTTGGTGTTTCTGTTGCAGGGCTTCATTTCAGGCCCAAAAACATGTTTGGTAGCTATTGTTTTGATTTAAACAGTGCTAAAATATTTTCAAAATTTAGGCCCAAAAGTGAAACACCAAAATGGTGTTTTTTGTTGTTTCAATACTGTTGGCCCAACAAAACCACTGTAGCGGAGGAAGTAAGTTACAATGAAAATTGTAGGGGAGGAAGTAAAAGTTTGCAACATTTGGCCCGACTACAATCTCTCTCCTTTGAAACCCTAGACGGCGATTTGGGAGGCGATGAAAACGCGATATTGACTGTAAGAGCAGTAGCTCGAGATCTGCCTCTGCAAGGCAAGGTATGCGTTCTTCCCCATTTTTTTCTTCAATACTCTTGCCGAAAACGATTATTAGATATATATATATAGAGAGAGAGAGAGAAAGAAGGGCTTCGATCTAGATAGAAAAATAGATATATAGATATATATAGAGAGAGATTTGAAATGGCGGAGAAACCCCAACCAGCCCGCTTCTTGTACTGCGGGATGTGCTGTTTACCTATAGAGTACTGTGAGTTTGGACCAGATTTTGAATGTACCCGACCTTTACCCTGATCTTCCCAAAGGTCATCCACAACCTCCTAAACCCTAATCGTAAATCTGACACAATTATTCATATGTATATATATATATATATATATATATATATATATATCTTGATATATAAAATAATTTGTATACTTTGTTTTTCTATTCATGTTTCAGAGGCAAATTCAAAGGAAGCTGATAAAGTCTCAGACCAACTCAAGTCCACTTCAATCTCTGAGGGCAAAGCCCCTTCTGGTAATTTAATTTCTAAGTGTTGAACTTTTTCTTATATATGAATATGAATTCATATGTTATGTACTGTCTTTTTACTTGAATACCTTATATAAGCATATGCAACAAATGTTTTAAATCATTAAAATGCCAGTCAAGAGTGTTAGGTTCTACTTGTGCATGAGACGCCAACACTTCAACTAAAGATTCCAAAAATAGAAAAAGGAACAATTAGATGTGGAATGCAAATGATACATTTAAAGATTTAGGCTAGAAAACAATAAGAGATTCTCTGATGTGTATAGTAGTCCGTTTGGGCTATTAAAAAAAAATGGTTATTGAGATTTTTGCATAATTGGTCGTAAAAGAAGAGAGTAAATACATATTTGTATAAATGACTGTTGTGAACTTTGTTTCTCTGTTCAAACTTTTCTTTTTCCTCTCTCCAATTTGGCTTGGTTGTTTAATTTCATAGTCTGGCTTATCCTTTTAAATATAGAATGCCTATTGTTATGTAACTACAATGGAAGTCCTCAATATATTAATCAGACCACAGTAAATCTAGGAGCAAGATTAAGAGGCATCTAAGGATAATTTGTTCCCTATTTTAGCATAAATACTGGTTAGCTCATGTCACTCGTATCTACTTGTTATAGAAGCTAACTTCCACCCCCCACCACCATATTTTAATCATGGATTCAAATCGAATCATGATGATACTTTTACTGGTACTAATTGAAAACGGGAACAAAACATTAATCAACTCTAAGTGTTTATGAATACAAGGTTGTAAACATGACTATTATCTTGTCTGGTTTTATTGTCCTACCTTTTCAATTCTAAATCCTGAATATCTTTTCTGTTGAGAGGGGAATTATTATGTAATTTCAGTCAAGTGATCTGATGGAAAGGAGAATAAATAAAACCAATGGTATTGAATATATATCCTTTCGAAAATCCTTTTAACTGCCAAAGTGAAACAAGTTTTCTAGATGAGGGGAGGAGTACCAAAGCAAACTTTGAAACTATATAAACTGAGGAAGGAGAAAAAGGAAAGACGATGGATTTTAATTGTGGGGAATAGAAATTAGTCCAGTTAGCATCCACACTAGTTGATTCAGATCGTGCTCTGTAATGGACAAGAGCAAATGTTAAATATTATATGTACGACAATGGATATACCAAGAGACTTAGGAATCTATTGTTGGGTTAACTTAAGGTTTCTCACATGTTGACCCTGAAGCAAATTAATTGGAAATTGGCGTTTCATTTAGGTGTTTGACATGCAAGTATTGTGTCTCTAACGTGGCTATAAAGTAGTTAAAATATGAATTTCCTTGTCATTTTCCCCTATGCATGTCACCGGAGATTATTACTGCAATTCTTTCTTTAGTGGCTATTTGTAGTTAGGCTCTCAAAGTCATTCTCTTTTATTATTTTGTCACTATGATTATGCCTAATTCATGTTTATGATAAGCAGTAGCATGTTGAAACATTAAACATAATCAATGCATTATAGATATATATTTAAATATTTAGTTACATTTTTATCATTCTTTTTAACTGGAATAATAATTGTTTTTACCTCTTCCACCCTTCCTTCTTGCAGCTGCTTTACTGAACTGGAGTTTGATATCTCTTGTTGAGTTGGTAGCTTTTCTTCTCATTAGATTCACAGCACCAAAAAGAGGTAAGCTTCTTATGCACACCCACCTTTTCTGGTTCAGTCTTTATCATTATGTCATTTCCCATACTTTTAAATATACATGCATAAGTTCAGAAGAATATCTGTATCTTTTACTCTTATTGAATTTATGATTTCTAGAATAAGAAAACACAATTATTAGTGAAATTTTGTGAGTAAGAGTGATTCCCTTCTCCTCTCACGTATGTGTATATATATACAATTGCTATTACAATGAAATGACCATATTTCCCTTTAGTAAAATACCTAATATTGTAATATTTATCACCAATTTCTCCTTTCTCTTCTTGTTTTTTATTTTTTATATTTTGATTCAGTATTCTTTATTAAATGTGTGAACTTCTCGTAGGGCTTTCCAGCACTTATGCCATATTAACTATATGTATGTTTCCTAGGAACTAAGTAAAACCTAAAATCATAAGCTCTTTCTAGCAAATGTATAAAAGGTGTCTTGTTCCTTAGAAACATCCAATTGATTCCCATGCAATGAAGGAAAAGAGTTTGAACAGACTTGCACTCCCTAACCTTTACATACAAATTTTAACATGTACAAATGGTTATATTATGGGTAATAGTGTCTGTGGTAGAATAACAGACTTGTTTTTTACTTGGACAAAGTTACTTTTCTTCTATTAGAAAGAGGTTCTTTGAAATGTCAATTTCATTCTTTTGTTTGACCTATATTTCATAAAATGGTTGAATGCAACACACATAATTTATATAATTCCCTGTAGTTTGGAAGAACATATTATTTTGGGAAATACCAATCTCCAAAGAAAGCAGAGGCCTCTGTGGTTTAACCTATCAATTGATCATTCTTTAATACTACTTGTTTGTTTACCACAGTGACATGCATGACAAACCTGTCTCAAATGTCAAAGTACTAACATTTTAGGGCGAATTTCACATACACCCCTAAGTTTGGATTACAATATCATTGAAACTCCTTTGAGTTTGGACAAATCTCACCCAAAATTATTAGTGAAATTTTGTGAGTAAGAGTGCTTCCTTTCTCCTCTCACGTATGTGTACTATTATTTTTTTTTGTTATTAATTATTGTGTTGTTATTAATATGTTAAATGGATATGAATGTTGAGAATGTGGAACAATGCGGTGATTCTCTCACAATTGAAGAAGTGGCTGAAGTTACGAACGATGGAAAATTGTTATGGGATGAGTCACTCATTGAAAAATTCGTGAATATTATGGTGGAAGAAGTTAAGGCTAATAATCGTAGTGGCACAACATTTAGTAAAAGTGGTTGGAGTAATTTAGTCAAACAAATGAATGTTCACACGGGGAGAAAATTTGGTTTAACCCAACTTCGGAATAAGTTTAATGGTTTGAGGAAAATTTATACTGAGTTTAAGAAATTATTATCGGAGACTGGCGTGGGATATAACCATGAGACGGGCATGGTTATAGTTGAGGAAGAGAGATGGGACAGGTTGTGCAAGGTTAGTAATTTAATTATTAGTTATAAATAAATAATAAAATCTTGTATATTATTGGTTATGTGGTTAATATTGTAACAAAATTTGTAGGTTGTTACGAATGCAAATAAGTATAAAAAGTATGGATGTAAGCATTTTGACAAGATGTCGACTATATTTGGGAACACATATGCAAGAGGGATGCATGCCCACCCATCCACTACAGCACCACCCACAATCATTTTGCCCACTCCCAATGATGACGATGATGAGGAAGAGGGTTGTGAGGTCAGTCCCCCACCTTTACGTAAAGGTAAGAAAGCCAAAAGAGATGCTTTATCTCCTGGTATAGCTGCACTCTTGTCAAACATGAATGAGAATTCTGAGAGGAGAGCTGAGAGAATGGAAGCTGCAATAGAGAAAGCAGCTAAAGCATCTTCTACTTCTACTCGAGTATCTTCATGTGAGAAAGGAGATGATGAAGTTCTCTCTCCCTCAAAAAAGGATAGAGATTATGAAATGTTTGACGCCTCCATGCTCCTTTTACAAAAAATACCTAGAATTGAGATGGCCCAATTCGCTAAGGTATCAAAGTTATTACATGATTCTGAGAAGTGGCAGAAATTTTTTCTTTCGGCACCTGAGGATGTAAGAATTGGTTGGGCACTGAATGTTTGAGTTTTTCTTTATGGATGATTGTGTTTTGTGTCATCGTTTAACTTATTACTATCTCACATTTGGATGACTGTAATAACTTAAATACTTTTATTATCTCACATTTGGATGACTGTAACAACTTAAATATTTTTATTATCTCACATCTGGATAACTGTAATAACTTAAATACTTTTATTATCTCACATTTGGATTACTGTAATAACTTAAATATTTTTATTATCTCACATCTGGATTGCTGTAATAACTTAAATACTTTTATTATCTCACATTTGGATGGCTATAATAACTTAAATACTTTTATTTCTTGGATGCCTGCTAGTACTCAAATACTTTAATACTATTATTTAAATGTTTGTTTTATTATTTAAATGTTATGTTTATTATTTAATTGATTTGCTTATTAACTTAAATGCTTTGCTTGTATTAAATCTTTACATAGAGCAATGGATGTGTGGAACAATATAAGAAGAATAATTCAATTATCTGACGATGAGGAAGATAATGAGAGTGTCTTAATATTTGCTACTCTTTTAGAAGAGCAGAACTTCTATCAAAAGAGGCGTTGTAGGGATTCCATTTTACAAGGGGAAACATATGTTATGGAGATTTAAAACGGCCATAAAGAAAGATGTTATGAAAATTTTAGGATGTACCCTGAAGTTTTTAGAATATTGTGTAGTACCCTGAAAGGTATAGGGCTGAAGGATTCTAAATTTTTAACTGTTTATGAACAAGTGGCAATCTTTTTGCTCACTTTATCTCATAATCAAAGGAATCGTGTTGTAGCAGAGAGATTTCTACACTCCACTGAAACCATTTCTAGATACTTCCATGCTGTGTTGCATGCAGTATGTCAGTTGGGCACCCATATCATTACCCCTCCTAATTTTTCTGTGATTCCGAATAAGATTAGAGAGTCTTCTAGGTTTTACCCTTACTTCAGGCATTGTGTGGGAGCTATAGAAGGAACCCACATTCCTGCAACTCTGCCAACAAGTACACAACTTCCATTTCGTGGTAGAAAGGGTTATACCACATAAAATGTAATGGCTGTATGTGACTTTGACATGAGGTTCACATATGTGCTAGCTGAGTGGGAAGGCTCAGCTAATGATTCGAGAATCCTAAATGAGTGTACTGAAAATGAGGCAATGAACTTTCCAGCTCCACCAGCAGGTAATATTTTTTTATAAATTCACTTAATATATGGTTAGTTTATCATACTGTATATATCTTTATGTATTCTAAACATGGCAGGTAAGTATTATTTGGTGGACTCAGGGTATACCAATAAGCCTGGTTATTTGGCCCCATTTCGAGGTCATACTTACCACTTTCAGGAATACCGTAGGACTAGACAACCTCGTGGTCGGGAGGAAGTGTTCAATCATAGGCATTCATCTTTGAGAAATATAATTGAGCGATGCTTTGGGTTATTGAAGATGAGATTCGCTATTTTGAGGGCAATGCCTCCTTATAAGTTTTCAACACAAGTATTGATTGTAATGGCTTGTTGCACATTACATAATTTTATCAAAAATCAGCATCAGCCTGATGACATATTTGATGGTAATGATCCTCCTCAAAGTGATGGTGAAGATGATGAGATTGTTGAGCATGTGCCTTCGGCTCAGCTTCGAGAAATGGATCAATTGCGTAATACTATTGCTGATCAGATTTGGAATTCTCTTCAGCACTCTTGATCCTTCTGAAGGTGATGGTATATTTTTTCTTTTATATGTAATATATTTGTTGCTATTGTGAGCTTGCAATATATATATGTAATATAAATATTTTTTGCAGATATATAATTCAACTTAAATGCTATTATTGCAGATATGAAATGTGTTGATGCTCTCTTGAAGGCCACATGTGCTGTTATGAAGATGATGTGCCGTTGCCATTGTTATCCACTTTATGAACTTCTTATTAATTTTTAGTGACAACTACGTATTGTTAATGCTTTGTTCCAAACATTTTATGTACAACTTAAACGTGTTTAATTTGTTGGTTGAATATTTCAGGACTTGTAAATGTTATACACTCTATTTCAATTATGCTTTCAATTGAGTTTGTTTTATTTTAATGTTGTGTTGGACTATACAGGTATCAGGATAATAAAATTGAAGCAAGTTATTGCAAAGAACTTGTAAATAGGTTATTGCAAATTTTTTTTACAAATGTTGACTCTCATGTAGTATAATAAAATGTGACTAGAGATTATTTATTTTTAATATTGAGTTGGACTATACAGGTATAATGATAATAAAATTGAAGCATGTTATTGCAAAGAACTTGTAAATAGGTTATTGCAAATTTTTTTACCAATGTTGACTCTCATGTAGTATAGTAAAATGTGACTAGAGATTATTTATTTTTAATATTGAATTGGACTATACAAGTATAATGATAATAAATTTGAAGTAGGTTATTGCAAATAACTTGTAAATAGATTATTGCAAAAATTAATATATATATAATTTGGTGGGGGTTTACATTTTTTTACAAAAGAGAAGGCAAGAATTTGTATTTTGAAGTTAAATTCCCACCAGTGCAGACTTACAAGAGTCGAAAATTATTATCAGAGCTGTGTAGTATTTTTTTTTCTTCTTTCGCTAATGCGAAAAATGAGCAAAATGAATGAAATACAAACCTATGGACAATCATCACCAAAGGAACAAACTATACCAAAAAATTTCAAATAACTTGAAGTGTAGTTTCAGATCAAGATAACATGCAAAATGGTTAAAATTATTGGTTCAATTATTAGAACTAACATTCTACATTTTCGCTAAAGTAGTTGCTTCTGTAATTACACTTTGGTTATATATATATATATATATATATATATATATATATATATATATGTTTGTGTGTTTAAATTTCAATAAATTTATTAAAAATATATAGACTATTTATATAGAAATAAATTTAAAATTTATAAAAATAAATTAAAAATAATGATAACCAAACATATTTTTTATTTCTGTTTTATTTTGTTTACAACAGTTGGAGTTACCAAACATGTTTTGTTTTTAAAATTCTTGAAACGCATGACTTACCAAACGTGTTTTGCATATTTTTGTTTCCGACATTTCTACAGCAAAACATCGTTCTCAAACGTGCTTCCGATTTTTGCCAAAACACTCTAATAGTAAAAACGCTATATCTGTTTTAGCCAAAAACAAAACGCCTAAAGTAAAACGCATGCCAAACGGGCCCTAAGGAATTTCGAACACAAGCTCATCCATATGGGTCTAGGGGTGCAACTTAGGCCAGCAACCCGACCAGGCCCGAGGTAACACAAATCTGGATTTTAACCCGTGGGCTTTAACCCGAATATTCACGTGTCAGACGGGTTATCTAGGTCAACCCGTTTCCTTTCTTCTTCTTTTTCCCTTTTCTATTTTTTTCAAAACAATAGGCCTAATTTTTTTTTTCCCTTTTTTACTATATGAATTTAATTTCAAAAAGATTTTTAAAATATCATTGCAAATGAGGGATATGTATATATTACTGATATTTTTTAAATATTGAAAAGGCAGTGTTTATTTTTTTTATTTGGTAGATTAATTGGATTGACATATTGTTATTACTATTATTATTATTATTTTAAAATATCTCACTCTTATCTGCGTATTTACACCTATCCACCACAATTGATCATTCAAACGAAATTTGTGATACCCCCAAATTTTCGAATGCGGGTTGGCCAGGCCCACGTCCGAATGCCCGAGGATATCAAAAACAAATCGGTAATAAACGAACACGGAATACAAACATGATAAATAATTAAAAATAAAATGCTGAAAGGAAACTACATTAATAATCCAATAATTAACCTCAGAAAAATTTCCATTTATTAATAAATCCTTCAGATACAACTAATCCTCCAGAATAATACAACTCGGGAATCCATACAATGTGGACCCCTAGAAATCCAAACAAAATAAGTAACTGAAATAATATCTACATCTGAAAATAAAAACAAAAACAAATCTCCTAAATGGAAGCGGAAGAATGAAGTAGACTGATTACTGCTCAGCACGAACAACCTCTACTCCTGACAAACACCTGAAAAATAATGGTGAGTCAGGCCCACAAACAAGTTCTACTCTACTACAATCCAAGTAGAGATCCGATACACGTATACATCATAGTCAATCCAGCAATAGCTAAATAGTCCATATATGTATAAATACACACTATAAAACGCTCACTAGCCGATAGTTGAGTCTCAGCCTGAATAGAAGGTAACATGCAAATTGCACCTCACAGTGGGCATGTATATCTAGACCTACCAGGGAACAGAACTATGTTCAGCTATCCATCCTAGGTGATATACACCCCCTAACCGTGATCATGAGACTCAAGCTCATATCACGGTACTATAAAGTATATATATAAATCCTTCCTAATACAGAAAAGTAAAGCAAACATCCGATATGTCATTCAAATGTTTTGGTTGACAAGACATGCATCCATGTAGGATTTAACTGTTTTAGTTAATCCATTCTGTATGTATGAATAGGTAAGGATTAGCGTTTTGATCTAATTCCTTCCTCATATGCCACCGTCCCATACCGGTTCATATAATGCATATGATCCGTAAATGATGCAACACTCGTTTAAACATCAAATACATCCAGAAACAATCATAATAGAAACCAAACATATGCAAGATCCTATTATGCATCCAGTATATGTTTATAACCATATATCCTTCGTTTAAATTACTAGAGTAGAGATAAACAATTTAAACTAACCATATCCCCATAATTGACAGAACATAAAGTATAACAGTTCATCAATTAATATCCATAGCATGATATAATGATAAGCAGAGTTCTGAACTGATCACATTATACTGGAATGCCAAAACCACCTTCATACTAGTCCATTTAAAAGTACTAAAACCAAGACTAGCAATGACACCCTCCTCATTCCTGAACACATGTAAATTATTATATAAATTTAATGAAACCCTTAATTATAAATCCAAAGCATGATATAAAACATACATATAACCATTTGCATTTATTTAAGCAAATACAACAATTTAAATAGCATGTAGTTAACTTACATTCCACAGAATTAACTTACATCTCAGATAAATTGTATCAACTCCTAATCATGAATAAAGTCATTTAAACGTTTAATTCAATTGTCAAAAAAATTAAATAACTAACAATCCATTAAATAATTTATAAAAATTATTTATAAATCTGTATTATCCAATTCCTTAAGCATATGAAGTATATTATGCATTCTAGAACCTTCCAAAGTCCATTAAACCCATTTAGATTAATTAAAATAGGTTTAGAAATAATTCTGGGCAATTAAAACCAAAATCCAGGTCGCGGTCCAACTGAGCTGGTTGAGTTGCCAACTTAGTTAGCTGAGTTGCCAACTTAGTGGCTGAGTTGTTGCTGAAGTCGTCTTCTTCATCTGCTCAGCCTCTGAAAACCCTAAAACTTCATAGTTAAGGCCTCTAAGCTTCAACCGAAGTCCCATACGTCCATACTAAATTATTTTAAGTGTTTTAACATGCAAAGATTAAACTTAAACATCAATTATGCATCGTAAATTCCAGAATCATTCAAAACAGGAATACAAAACTAAAAACATACATTCCTTTGTTTTAATTCAATTAAGCATGCATAATTAATCCATTTTAATTGTTTAAGTCTCCTGGAATATCCTAGGCATGTATAGAAACACAGATCAAAGGGTGAGAGTAAGAGAAGAACCTGCCTCTTAAGGATTTCGGATTGAAACCTTAAACCTCCTTCTCTGTGTTCTTCCCCTGATTCCGGCGACCTTAGTTACCGTCGAATGTAATGCTACCAAATTTTCCTATTTATTGGGACATAGAGGAAGTTTCAATGGTTATAGATGGGTAAAAGAGTAACTAACCAAAAAGGTGACATCACACACTTTTTGACAAGTGGCAAGTCATGGACCATAAGTCAACTTTGACCAAACCATTTCATATCTCTTATTCTTCTCAGCAGAACACATTTCCTCTTCCAAAATCTTCACTTCTCATTCTATATCTGTCTATGTACACTTATTGTCTTCTAAGCTTCAAGCTTGTTTTTGGAGAGATCAAAGTGAGATTTTGATGAAGCCATTGATGAAGAAGTGATGAGCTTGAGAAGAGCTTCTTATTGAGACCAATATTGCAAGGGGTTTAGGGAATTTCGAAATTTAGAGGCTTAAGGACTTGTTTGGTTTGGCTAGCTTCTTAGAGGTAGGAATTGTCCTAAACCCTAATTCCTTTACCTCTTGTGAATTAATCTCTTAAGTTTTAAACTAATATATGCCTAGAATTGAATTTTTTTTACAAGCATGTATATGTGAATAAAATAAGAAATTTTATAGTTTATATAACAATGATGTGTTATGTATTATAAATACTGAAATTGAGCTCTTCTAAATGTTGGTCGTGTTATGTGCATTAAATTGAAAATTTAGTAATTTCAATGGTTATGTTGTTGTTGCTTACAAGCTGAAATTCCATGTTTAATTTGCTTCAACTATTGGATAGTTTTGTTGTAAGCTTGGTGGAGTTGTTGCGAATTAAAAACTATCTTCATAGTTTGTTACTAAAGCTGGAATTATGGTTGTGATACTTGAGGCTGAAATTAGCATGTAACATGACATTGAATAGCATGTAATACTCATGCATTGCATGACTAAAATTAAATTTTAT